CGTCATCAATGATTGCATTTTGCCCTCAGACTGCTCTATTCTAGGGGTGAGATCTAATAGACTGGCGAACTTGCTCATAGATTGATTGACACTAGTATTTACCAGTTTCAGGATATCATCAAACTTTGGCTCGATACCCTCATCCTCCATACGGGAGCTTATCTTCACCCACTTCCTTTGCAGTCGAGTAGGTAGACGTCTTGCTATTACTTCTAGTATAAAACTCGAGTTGAGGTCACTCATTCGATTCATCGAAATCATTCCATTCTTGTAAATTAGCAAATTATCTAAAAACTCAGTGAGTGCCTGGGAGTCATCCTGTAATTGACCACCATTACCCTTAACAGCCTCGAATAATTTCCCTGCAATCATCGAAGGTCTTCCAAACCTTTGACGTAATATGCTCATAGCCTCGTAGTAGCCCTCTTTTGGCTTCATAAACTTACAGCACTGTATAGCTCTTGCAGCATCTCCAGTGCAATATCTCATCAAATACATTAACTTCAATTCATCATTTAATAAAAAACCACTCAACATGATCTCAAACTCCTTTACAAATTGTAAATAATCAGCCGGGTTTCCATCAAAACACCGTGGTTCAAATTTAGGGAGTTTGATGTTCCTATTATCCCTGAACGGCGAAACAGTAACATCAACCATGTCATGCTTAACATCAGACACATCGTTACAATTAACAGACAAGTCACCATGACTTACTTTCCTGTTTGCATCCAAGACACTCTGTCCCTTCTTTGACCCAGGCATTGTTGAACTTGACCCAATTCCAAAAAGTTCCAGATATTGCTTGTTCAAAGAGGACTTGACCGGCACCAGGAAAAATGAACGGCGACTATCCAAACTTTCACCAACTGTTTCAATCCGCCAGATCTGTTTCTATCGTCAGAAACTGTCAGCAAAGTCTCATAAACCGTTAATGCCCAGCTCTCGCTACGCTCGGGCCCACGCTGTTCCTTGAAGTTTTTCAGAAACGCTTAGTTATAACGGACGAAAAAACCAAAACACCGATCTGCCGTTTGATATTTGTTTATTGTTACACCAACATATAAAAGGAATAAGCGAACTAAGCAAACTAAGGTCTGTAAACAAATATTACAATAATTTCTGACGATGTTTCAGTCTTCTTTCTGAACAGCGACCGATGAGACGATGACTGTCGTATTGATGCCTCCGCGAAAATCGAGGAAGTTGATTTTGAGCAAACAACCAAGAATTGATCGTTCAATCTTCAACTCCATTGACATAAGTCCACGTGCATTTTCACTGAAGTCATCCACAGTTGAGCTGTGATCAATCTTTATTGTCAGGCGCATGCAGGTAAAATATAGTATTTGCTTTTCTCCCCGACGAAGAATAATGCTGGCGATTTTTGTGCATCTATTTATTCTACATATTCTCAGTCTGTAGCTGACAGAATTCTTTTGCTGAGCGTCGGAAAATTATCCATTTATTAGCAAATTACAACCCGAAGTGGATATACTGAACGCATAAAGTGATGTGGCTGAAGTGGAATGTCAATCCTACCACTAAAAATATCTTGGTCACCAACAGCAGCCAAAGCTCTCATGCAGTGGGAACCAATCTCCTCCAGGATAATGACAGCCAGGTTCAACTCAAAAGGAAGGAAAGTTACAGTCATTCAATGCTATGCGCCTACAAACGTCCCAGAACAAGAGAAGAAGGAGGCATTTTACAGACAATTACAAGCAATAATGGACAACGTCCAAATGGCAATATCAAAATCCTGGTGGGTGACATGAATGCGAAGCTGGAAGGAGACAATACAGGAAGAGAACTCACCATGGGTCGTGAGGCCCTCGGTGAAATGAACGACAATGGTGAACTCTTCTCAGACTTCTGCGCCTTCGATGATTTGGTGATTGGTGGTAGTGTGTTCAAACACAAGGATATACACAAGACGACATGGATTTCACCAGATGGAAACACCAAAAACTAAATAGACTTCATCTCAATTTCAAGAAAGTGAAGACGGAGCCTACTGGACACAAGGTCGAGGAGAGGAGCAGATGTGGGTTCAGACCACTATCTAGTACAAGGGACTTTCAAGGTGAAACTAAAAGCCTCGAGGATAGCTGGGGATAGGCCACAATGCAAGTTCAACACTCAATTACTGAAGGACACAACCACAAAAGACACGCTCACTGCAACTGTCAGAGCAAAGCAGGAACCACTCGTGACATCACTGAAGAATCATGCGTGGAAGAACATTGGAAGTCTCTGAAGGCGATTCTCAACGAAACGTGTTCAACGGTTCTAGGAAGAAAGAAGAGACAAGACAAGGAATGGCTCTCAACGGACACTTGGAAGCTAATAGAAGAGAGGAGAATGGTGAAAGAGAAAATGATTCAATGCAAGGACGGACAGGAGAAGGAAAAGCTGAGCTCAACTTACAAAGCATTGGACAAAGAAGTGAAGAGAGTGCTAGGAAGGACAAAAGACGATTCTACGACAACCTGGGCACTGAAGATGAGAAGGCAGCAGGCAAAAGGGACCTGAGGACACTATATCAGATAACCAAATCTCTATCCGGGAAGAGACCAACACAAGCGAAACCTATAAAAGACAGCCAAGGGAACCCAATTACCAAGGAAGAAAAACAGATTAAACAATGGGCGGATCACTTCAAAGGACTCTTAAACCGACCACCACCCGCAACCCGTCCAGAAATACCAACAACAGCACGCACACAACTGTAAATTGACACCAATCCTCCAACGAGAGCTGAAGCCTTGAATTCAGTCAAGCTTCTGAAAGCTGGAAAAGCAGCCGGACCAGATGGAATACCCCTGAAGCACTGAAAGCTGACCCAGAGACGACAGCAGATATGCTGACTCCATTATTGCAAAAGGTTTGGAAGGAGGGAAAAGTGCCTACTGACTGGAGGAAAGGTTACCTCGTGAATTTACCAAAGAAGGGCGACATAGGACTCTGCAAGAACTGTCGAGGAATCATGCTCCTATCGACGCCAAGTGAAATCCTGGGTTGCATCATCCTGGAGAGATTAAAGGACGCACTGGAGACAGAACTCCGCCTGCCGGAACAAGCTGGATTCAGGAAAGGCAAATCATGTACTGACCAAATTGCAACTCTAGCATCATCATCCAAAAAAGCATGGAATGGCAATCAAACCTCTACCTCAACTTTATAGACTTTGAAAAGGCCTTCGACAGCGTTGAACGCGAAGTAATTTGCAAATTACTCGAGTACTACAGCGTACCCCAAATATTCATCAACCCTATTCAACAGCTGTACGACAACGGCACATGTCAAGTGATCCACAACGGAAAATTCAGCAAGGCGTTTGGAATAAACACAGGAATCAGACAAAGGTGCTTACTATCACCAATGATACTCCTAGTTGTGGTGGACCGGATTATGCGTCAGAGAGTGGGAAACGAGAAGACAGCAATAACATGGACCGACGTGAAGAACATGGAAGACACGGATTTCGCGGATGATTTGTGTTTGGTGTCACACATAGTCGAAAACTTACAAGCGAAAATCGGAAAACTGGTTGAAGAAGCAGCCGGCGAAGACAGAACTCCAGGTGAACATAGACAAGACGAAGGTTATGGAAATAACCAACCAACAACAACAATAACAACAACAGCACCAAAATCCAGTACTAATCACTATCAACCGGAGGGATTTGAAAGAGGTTGCTTCACTCACTTATCATCTAGGGAGCATTGTCTCAACTACAGGCAGTTGGAACAGACGAGGATCTCAAATCGAGAATCGGGAAGGCGAGCGAGAAACACATTTATCAACCTGAAAGCAATCTTGAAATCTTCGTCACTCAGCATCAACAACAAAATTCAGTCGGATTTTCAATACGAACGTCAAGTCAGTCAGCTCTTCTATAAGGATCAGAAACTTGGCGGGCGGATCACAAAGAACATTCCCAACAGCCTGTTGCAGACCTTTATCAACAATTATCTTCACTAGCCCTATACTGAAGATCAGATAGCCGGGCCAGAAAGAGTCACCAACAAGGAACTATGGGAACAAATAGACAAAACAAGAACCAATCGCCCAACCATTAAATATGCAGGAGAAAGTGGAGATGGATTGGACACTCGCTGAGGAGAGCGCTGGGTGACATCGTGCGAGCGTCAGGCCATTGTTCGAGTGGAACCCGAAAGGGAAGTGGAGAGTGGGACGTCAGTGCAAGGGTAACATAGAGGAGATCGTGTGGAGAGGAGTTGAAGCAGTATGGACTAACATGGATGCAGGTGAAAAGCACAGCAGAAGACAGGAGCAAGTTGGGACGTGCAGTTGAAGCCCTATGTTCCACTAGGAACCCAAGGGAGCAATAATAATAATAAAAATTACCTTGAAAGTAGTCATAAGACCACTGCATATGGCAAATGTATATTGGACTATCAACTAGACTTTCACAGCAAAGGTATTTTTTATTTTTTTTTTAAAAATTTAAAAAAATGGTTCTGATAAAGTGAAAAACGGGAAAAAGTAAGCTATCATAATCGTCGTCAAATGCACTAAAAAATATTACAGACATGATATTACAATGAACAATTGCCACCTGTACGTTGTGAGAATGTCTCTCAGTCACTAAACGGATGATGTATTAGCGAAACTATACCGTGCAAGATAGATGCATTTGCGCAAGTGATTGTGGGCCATCGGTATTTCTGATACTGTCTTCTAGCCAATTCTTAACTCTATCCACAATCCTAACTCTTAACCCTAACTTTAACCCTGAATATAACCTTAACTCTATACCCTAAACCTTAATTTTAAAGGCGTAACCCTACCTAACAGTGTAGATTTGCAGGAAGAGTACCTAACTAATGCGTACAATGCTGTATCTACCCCCACGGAAGTTCGAAAAGGCAGATATGATTTGATTTGGAATGACATTTGATAGCATTCCCTGTATCTAATCGGGCCTTGAAGGTCAACTTCTGAAAGACCTTAACTTTGGCAAACTCAGAATGACTATACATTGAACTTTGAATTGCAAACATGGAACTGTGAATATAAATGTGAACGCGCGATTATTTAAATATTGATATGAGTAACTGTGACGATTACGTAAAAGATTTGAGGGAGCAAATAGATTCCCCTTGCAATCAGATTTGTGCTGACTGCCACTATAATGCTGTGAAATGCGTTTCTTTAACTTTTGGAGTGTTTGTCTGCGAGTTATGTGGGGGTGAGTAAATTCTAATTCCTCTTATTTGTTTCTACTTAGCATCTCACCAAGCGTTGAATGGAAACATTAAAAAGATTTCTGGAGACAATGAAAATAGTTTAATTTGGTCAGATGACAGCGTATCACGAGTGAAAAAGCTTGGTGGTAACAAAGTTATCAATCAAAGATTAGAAGCGTCCCTTCCTGTTTATTTCCGTCGACCATGGCCTGGAACATCGTGCCCTGCATTCTTTAGAGAAGCATTTGTCAAATCTAAATATATTCATGAAGAGTTTACCAATGACGCAATTGGAAGAGGGGCTCAAAATCAGTTTGCTTGTTCATTCAAATCAGGAGTCTTATTGAAAAAGCTACGCGATTCCACCACATTTTGCGAACGCTTCTTTGAGTTATCTGTTGAAGGTAATTATTTACGCTATTATATCAAGCCAAGTGATTCTCAACCCAAACAGTCACTAGATTTGGAGAGACTTAATTTTACTTTTATTCCATCTAAAGACTTTGGACTTCCACCACATACAGCACTTATTCAATTTGTACAAGACTGTTCAACCAGGCACATGTTTGTAAGATCAGAAGACAGCCGAACCATAATTAACTGGTATAACGCAATAAGGCTTGGTAAGTATCATCGCCTTTGTTTGGGTCTCAGTGGCATGGGTGTTACTTTATCTCCATCCGAGTTAAGTGAAAGGCTTACTAGAGATCTAGATATGTGCGGTTGGCTGTCTAAAACAGGACCACGCAAAGGTGACGCATGGCGTCGGCGATGGTGCATGATTTTACACCGGCATTTCTTATACACTGATAATCCCTTAAGTGCATTTGCCAAAGGAGAATTGTTTATTGGTTCTAGTAAAGAAGGATATTCAATCACAAACAGCACTCCTGATGGTTGGAATCGTCATAATGGGCATCCATTAACTATTCACACTTCCTCACGTCCTTTTGTATTTGTTGCCGACAAAAAAGAAGAACAGGAAAAATGGATTGAAATAATTCAAAATATTATAAGTATGCCTTTGACTCTTGCAGAGCATAAGCAAGCAGCTTTAGTTGTTACAAAGCGTACACATCCACTAGACTTCTTGAGAAACCCTTAGGTGTATTTTTCAATTTTTATTCACAAATGTACAAAACATCTAGCTGCTTTTTTTGCTGAGTGATAAATAAGACACCTTTGTCTTATCCTAATGTACATAGTTATATGTTTTTACAGTATTTCTCAAATATTCTTCTTTAAATACCTCAAAAAATCATGTGGTATTTGTTCTAAAAGCCGATCATTTTTCAACTGATTAATTTTCACATTTTGGTTAGAATACATAGGCAAAAACTGCCCTAATTGTATATATAATGATAATTTTTTCCCACAAAAATCATGATCTTAATGTGTGATATTGTCATTGTAACTTTTTTATTTCCCTATTAATTTGTCTACAAATGTTTGAATATTTAAGGCCAAAAATAAAACTGTGTTTTGGTTTCAGCACTCTTAAGCATTAATGCAATACAGAGGTTTGAATTTATTTGCTTTCATTTTATATTTGCTGATTACACTGTGTTCGATTGACAAGATGTTAGTGCTTTAGTTAAAGATAGAAATAAAGCCTATTGTATGTGTTTTATTATGTCGAATTCGTCGACTAGATTCGCTCATCTGAAAGTAGGCTGTAGGAACATTACGAAAATCTGACTGTTCCGAGTACTGAACTTTTATTTATTAGTTCACCTCATTAAAAGTTTTAACTGGTGCAATGAATATTAGTCCTTTTCAAGACAGGTGGAATTTTCACATAACCAATTAACCAGTAGTCAGAAAAACGAAAGTCTGTTTGAGTGAGTTTTCAACTGTTCATTGTTTACAAAGCACTTGTTTAGCGTGTATTGTGCGAAGGATTCGGCCGAGTCTGTAAATCTTTTTGAGTCACCAAATTTTTGAAACATAAATAATTAGCCAAAACGAATCCGTGAATATCTGACATCATGCATACACTCAGTTACACAGGAATAGTAGAAACCTCTTTTTTATTCCTTTACGCTCCTAGTGAAACACAGGGCTTTGAGCTAGAGGTTTGAAGTTTCGGTAGCAGTGGTGTTAATTCTTACAGTATGGGGTTGCTAGCCTTATTCTCAATGTTCCTTCCTTACCAGTATTATTACTGGCCTACTGAGGTAGAGGAGTGCTTCGCCGGTGATCGAACCTCGGACCACATGCTGTGCTACCGACGCATAGAAACCTCTATTATTATTATTGTTCCCTTGGGTTCCTAGTGGAACATAGGGCTTCAACTGCACGTCCCAACTTGCTCCTGTCTTCTGCTGTGCTTTTCACCTGCATCCATGTTAGTCCATACTGCTTCAACTCCTCTCCACACGATCTCCTCTATGTTACCCTTGCACTGACGTCCCACTCTCCACTTTCCTTTCGGGTTCCACTCGAACAATGGCCTGACGCTCGCACGATGTCACCCAGCGCTCTCCTCAGCGAGTGTCCAATCCATCTCCACTTTCTCCTGCATATTTAATGGTTGGGCGATTGGTTCTTGTTTTGTCTATTTGTTCCCATAGTTCCTTGTTGGTGACTCTTTCTGGCCCGGCTATCTGATCTTCAGTATAGGGCTAGTGAAGATAATTGTTGATAAAGGTCTGCAACAGGCTGTTGGGAATGTTCTTTGTGATCCGCCCGCCAAGTTTCTGATCCTTATAGAAGAGCTGACTGACTTGACGTTCGTATTGAAAATCCGACTGAATTTTGTTGTTGATGCTGAGTGACGAAGATTTCAAGATTGCTTTCAGGTTGATAAATGTGTTTCTCGCTCGCCTTCCCGATTCTCGATTTGAGATCCTCGTCTGTTCCAACTGCCTGTAGTTGAGACAATGCTCCCTAGATGATAAGTGAGTGAAGCAACCTCTTTCAAATCCCTCCGGTTGATAGTGATTAGTACTGGATTTTGGTGCTGTTGTTGTTATTGTTGTTGTTGGTTGGTTATTTCCATAACCTTCGTCTTGTCTATGTTCACCTGGAGTTCTGTCTTCGCCGGCTGCTTCTTCAACCAGTTTTCCGATTTTCGCTTGTAAGTTTTCGACTATGTGTGACACCAAACGTAAATCATAAATAGCTAGAAAGCTAGCGAGTTAGTAATCTAGGCGACGTTATAGAAACCTCTACCTATTCAGAGAAATGAATGAGCTCAGTGAGTCTTGGACGTAGCGAAATTAGCTGTCTGGTAGCGCAGAGACACAAAATTTCTCATATATGCTTTGTTTTGTTAAGGAAAGCAGAGCAATCTCTGCATATATGGAATAAGTCACCTAAATGTGAATACAGTGACTTATCTCATTACAGGATCTTTATCTTTTGATATTGATGCGAACCGTGACTGGTACCTCCCTTGCGATTACCTGTGATCCCTAGTTCAACCACAGAATTTAAGTGTTTACAATTGGAAGCAGACAAGCAGTATATTTATACGAAGTCTAGAAGCATCGTACGTACACCAATCTTTCTGTTTGCCTTTCTACCTGAACTGTTATTATTTAGGTAAGAAAGGTAATATAAATGCCACCTCAAGTCCTCTGTTTTTTCTATCTTTCACAACGTAGATTTCATCTTAGTGATTTATCCATCTCATACACAGAGGAAAAATGGATAAGACCAAAACTTGCACCAAACACTTCAATAATCTTGGCTAGGAAAGCTGATCAGATATAACTGTTAGTAGCCTCAACATTCTACCTCTAATCACAATGATACTCCCTGAGCCATGCTTAAAAAAGGCCAAAAGGTGTGACACGATCTCGTGCCAACTGTGGGATTCATTTGTGACAACACTCATAATGTTTTCACTCCAACTAGAATATACAATTCGTAGAACGTCTGATAGATATTGTCTATGATGTATATTAAAGTAGTGCCAAACAGTTTTAACATTTTGTGTAAAAAACTATTCTGATTAGGCGTAAAAGTGCAGTAGACTAAGAGATAAGACTTTAACTTCAAACATTATACTATAGAGATCATAATTAAAACTGTTTACGAGTAACAAATAACAAACTATTACTGATGTTGGCATATTTGCATTTAGTTATGAAGCTTTTGTTATCCTTCTAGACTGCATATTTGGTACATAGTCATCAGCCATACCATTAGCCCCAACGGACTGATCTCTGACGAAATCACAGCATGGATACAGAAGGTTCATTTTGCATAGGCCACTTTACGGCGTTTCTGGTGTAGACGTGATATCCGGCTTTCGACCAAAGGGTGAGTGTACTACTCAGCAGTCCGCTCCGTCCTCCTTTATGGCTGCGAGACCTGGCCATTGAGAGTGGAAGACATGAAAAGATTAGCTATCTTTGATCATAGGTGCCCGCGCTCTATCTTTAGTGTTAAGTGGAGGTATAATAAGGTGCGCAGTATTGAGGTTAGGCGTTGAGTGCTAGGTAAGAAGGGGAAATCAATCGACGAGGCTGTGAAATTACATCGACTGAGATGGTTAGGACATGCGTTACGTATGCCTAGTCATCGCCTTACTCGATGGGCAATGTTGGGCTGTTAGGCTAGAATAGAGCTAGCTAGTGACGGTCAAACCAAAACACGACTTCACCTGTCAATGAATTCCACAACAGTTAGTTTGAGCCACGTAAGAAGGTGAAGACTTCCTGGTTGGGGTTTTCAGGATGGTAAAAACCAATGAAGGCTGGAAACAATTGGTGATATGGCTGAAAATCGTTCTTGGTGATGGCTGGCACAGATGCATCCACTCCTTGTGACTAATGATTTTCAATGAAACTATATTGTTCTTCGTTATTACTGTTCCTTTGACTGACACCTGTGTTTACTGTTTCTATTACGCATTTCTTCTAACTTCTCCTGTTGCTTTGTGTGCTACATGGAATGTGTCGACTTGAACTGTCTCACATCGGTGCAAATTTCTATGTCGAAAACAGACAGACAGACATACTCAATTTCATAGTGAGCCTATAGAATTTTCCGTGAGCTTACTTGTTAGCTACCTCTCTTAGTAACCTTGAACATGAACATCGGGAAATAGTCCAACTCTGCCACTGAAAACTTATTTCACTCAACAGCAGTTTATAGCTAGCATGTAAGAAAGAATGACAACGCACAGTATACTCCCCAAAATGGGAACCCTGTCACTGTTACGTGACAGTCTTGAAAAGGAATTCATGATTAAATGATAATACAGACAGTTTTAGCCTGTGCGACCAGAGTTCATAAAACTTCTAGCAACTTAAAATTAATGATGTAAGGCAAATAGCATATGAAGAAACATTCTTAGCATTTATAATTTCAGTTAGAAAGGTTACACGGGAAGTAGGATAAAAAAATTTAAAATAGACTTGATTTATGGATTTGTGTGCATCAGTATATTCTACACCTGTTACACTTTAAAATGTTATCCTCAGAAAGTTAAGAAAGATGCACAGTGAGTGGTCTTAACGGTTAGAAGTACACTCGGAAAAGGAAAAAAGATCCAAAATTCTAATGCTGATATAAGTATAAAACTTGGACACTGCGGTAGAGTATAATTTCATTATATATAAGATTTTATTTTGATAAGTCGAACAGTGTTGCACAGTAATATTAATCAATATAGGATAATGTACATTCAGAAATAATAATATGAGTGCCACTGATCAAATACAATTAGATGGGAAATGAGATGAGTATTTTTATAGTCAAATAAATGAATAACTTGTTAGAATGTTATGATGTGCGTGAATTGAAATAGAATTTTAAGATTATTTATTATCCTCCTCCGATTTGACTGACTGGCTGGTGGTAATAATATCTTCCATATCTCTGGTATTCGCATTGCAAAAGCAAAATAAAAACAATTGTGAAACTAGTAACGATAACATAAATAATAGAGAATATAAGTCATCCAATGTTATACCATAGAAGGAGGGGACATCTGAGACACTCCCTACGTAGGATTCATAATAAAGCAGGAATTACAAACTCACTCAGTTAGGACAATCTCTGTAGGCTTAAAGACCCGGTGTACCCAATTAGACAAAATAATATCATTTACAAAATACCCTGCAATGACTGTGAGTTTTGGTCAACTACATAGGCCAAACAAGTAAATCGGGGGTAATCAGATTGGCGGAACATAAGAATTTGGCTAAGGTAAGAACGGTTGACCCAGAGAAGATAAGTAATTTAGAAAAAAGCTCAGCAATTGCACCACATGCATTAACACTAAACCAGACAATAGGGTGGGAGGGCGAGGGTTAAGATTCTAAGAGTAATCTAAGTAGGTGGAGACAGAGAGATTGATTACTGAATCCTGGTTCATTGAGTCTACACCCAATACATGCAAGAGAAATGACTCAACGCAAATACCAGAAATATGCATGGAAGATATTATTACCACAAGTCAGTCAAATCAAAGGAGGCTAATAAATAATCTCGAAATTCTATTTCAATTCAAGCACATCACAACATTCTAACAAGTTACTTGTCTTGACTATGAAAACACTCGTCTTATTTCCCATCATATTATTATTTCTGAATGTACATTATCACATATTGATTTTTATTCAAATTTCTAGTCAATTCTACACACGTATATAAATGAAGGAAAAAGTTGTGTGAGCAGCTTGATATGGTTATGAGTGGCAATAATTTGTGCTCGAAACGTTGTCATCAGTT